TTCAGGTGATCTGATTCCTTAATGCTCTGAATTGTGTCTTTCATTTTCTTATTTCTTACGTCTAGTACAGTGCCTAGTATAGCAGTAGATTAAATCAATTAAATCCCTGCTAAACTACAGTCATGTATGAAGGAGTATATCCGAGAAGTGGGATGAGTACATCCCAGAAGCGGGTGAGCCCTTGCACTTCCAGCCTAGGCCAAGATCTGCAGCAAGCAGTCAAGTCAGTTCTAGCCTTAGGTTTAAAGCCCAAGTCCCTCAGGTCTGCCCCAAAACAGAATCTAGGGCAGATATCAAAAGTGAAAAATCACAGACTAACCATCATTCTTATTTTTAAAAACATTTTTCTTTCCTTTTAATTTTTTAATTACAGTTGACATTCAATATTATTTTATATTAGTTTCAGGTGTTCAGCTTTGTGGTTAGACATTTATATAATTTATTAAGTAATCCCTCCAATAAGTCTAGTACCTACTTAGCTCCACACATAGTTATTACAATATGTAATACAATATGCTGCAATGAACATAGGGATGCATGTATCTTTTCCAATTAGTGTTTGGATTTCTTCAGATAAATACCACAAAGTGAAATTTCTGGGTCATGAGGTAGTTCTATTTTTAATTTTTTGAGGAACCTCCATACTGTTTTCCATAGTAGCCACCAATTTCTAATCCCACCAATAATTCATGGCAGTTCCTTTTCCTCCACATCCTCACTAACACTTGTTTTCGCTGTCATTCTTTAAATGGATATTTACCCAAACACTCTTAAAACCAGCCTGTCTATAAACATGGGAGTTCATTTACTTGTTGAGAGCCAGGGTGCCTGGATTCAAATTTTGGCTTTGTCACTAGCTAGGTGCATATTCTTGGTCAGGATGTTTCACTTTCTGTGCTTGAAGTTTCTTATTTATAAAATGTGGGTAATTATTATACCTGCTTCATGAAGTTATTCTGTGGATTACATGATTTGATATACTTAGAACAGTACTGTTCACATGATTGAATGTTCAATTATAATTTTGACTAATGTATCTCAAGAAATAGGAGAATAAAAGAGGACTTTTTAAAAAATAATTTAAAAGGTCCTAAAAGAGTGTTAGCTCTTTTGGAATTATTAAGAACAAAGGGGAATATCATCAAAGTCCATAAAATTAAGAAGTCAATTATAAACCTTATAAAACTCCTTTCTCTCAAAGGATAGTTTCAAAATTAATTGAGATCAATTCTTACAGATTGAATGTATAATAGGTTATTGAGAGAACTGAAGATGATCTGTGATACATAATTACTTTTCCCAAGTGGACTATAGGGAACCAAATCCGTCCTAGAAATGAGAAGTAGAACTTCTTGTCAGCACATTTAAATGACTTAGGAAAATAGCAATGCTAAAGCCCCACATCAGAACTATTAAATCAGAGTCTCTAGAGATGGGGCCCAGGCTCTGGTATTTTTTTTTTTAAGTTCTCCAAATGCTTGTAAAGATGTACCTGGGTTTAGAAACTGGTGGGTTAGTCAGGTTCTCTAGAGTAATTTGCCTTAACTCTTCCATTTGTATATAATTTCCACTTCTGTTGTCCACTAGCAGAATTCCTTTTCTTCATAACCTCTTCCATTTTTTTCTGATGCTTTTTTAGTTTCTGTTCCAATTTGCCATGTGTCTTACAGCCTTTCTATGTGTGTTCACTTATGAGTGGAGACTCAGTAAATATTAGACAAAAACAACAACTGTGAAAATTATGAGTGCCAGCTCTCCCCAGATAAAATCAGCAGAAATATATGGGCTCGAACGACCTGTACGATTATCCAACAGGTGGCTATACCAGTTGTTGATGAAAGAATGTTTAAACTTGTAGAAAGCTTTATTAGAGTTTATTCGAGCCCGAGTTTTGAGGACATGCCCAGAAGCAAAATATCAACAGATTGAGAAAATTTCCAAAGAATAGCAGTTTTGCAGTGTATTGTATACATTTAGAATTAAAGGAGAAAGCATAAGAAATGTTATATGAAATCTGTTGGTGGTAGATCAAGGAGGCTGGAGGAAGCACACTGGGTCAATCTCCAGGATTGGCTTTTAAGAAAGATGGAAAGATACATACTTCCTCTACGTTGGTGGGTACAGGATAGTTAACATTTGACATTTCTAGTTCATAGAGATGGTGTGTGGGCAACAAAATAACAATGGTCTCCTGTTCTGTTTGTCTTGTGTTCTGGGGCCAGTTGTGCTTTCAAGGACTCTGGAAAAGATAATTACTCCAACATTTCAAAGATATGCTATTTTAGATGCTTAAGAAGAATTGACAGGGCTCACTTAAGGTAAAGATTCATCTTTGCTAAGGAAGTTATAGGACTTGTACATTGACTACTCACCATGACCTGCCCAGTTAGGAATACATGATAAGACAATGCTATGCAGTTACTGTTGGTCACTGGGCTTGTCAAGGTTGCCAAGTCACCCCTAAGCTTGTTCAGTGTACTCTGTTGCCCTTTTCCACCCACACAGTTAGCTGTAGGAGCTGCACGCAATGGTTGTATGTTGGACAAGCAAAGTAAAGATACCAAGCAACAGCTACAGGGGAAGAAACATTGGCAAGTCTGCTGCCTGTACTGAATTTTATGAATCTCTTATTTCCCTTGTCGTAGGATATATATTGGCAAATATATTGCTACATGGGATATCTGAAATTTTTCTGCCTATGTTTTCCTCTAAGACTTTTATGGTGTCATGACTTATATTTAAGTCTTTTATCCAGTTGGTGATCTAGTTTCATTTTTTTGTATGTACTAGTTCAGTTCTCCCAACACCATTTATTGAAGAGACTATTTTTGCTCCATTGTATGCTCCTTCCCTCTTTTTCAAATATTAATTGACCAGAGAGACATGGGTTTATTTCTGGGCTCTTTATTCTGTTCCATTAATTTATGTGTCTGTTCTTATGCCACTACCACTCTGTTTTGATTAAGTGGCCTTGTGCTATAGTTTGATATCAGGTGTTGCAAACTCTCCTACTTTGTTCTTCTTTCTCAAGATTGCTGAGGCTATTTGGGGTCTTTTTTCGTTCCATATAAATTTTTAAAATATTTGTTCTAGATCTGTGAAATATGCCATTGGTATTTTAATAAGAATTATTAAATCTATAGATTGCTTTGGGTAGTATGGTCATTTTAATGATGTTAATTCTTCTAGTCCATGAACATGGTATATGCTTCCATTTATTTGTATCTTCCTTAGTTTCTTTCTTCAGTGTTCTACAGTTTTCTGGGCACAGGTCTTTTACTTCCTTGGTTAAATTTATTCCTAGGTACTTTATTTTTCCTGTTGCTATGGCAAATGAAATTTTCTTAATTTCTCTTTCTGACATTTCATTATTGGTGTACAAAAGTGCCATAAATTTCTGAATATTGACTTTGTATCTTGCTATTTTTCAAAATTCATTTATTAGGTTGAGTAGTTCTTTGGTGGGGACTGTAAGGCTTTCTATGTACAATTTCATGTTGTGTGTGAATAATGGCAATTCTACTGCCTTTTCCAATTTGGATGCCTTTTATTTCTTTTCTTGTGTGTTTGCTGTGACTAGGACTTCCAGTACCATGTTGAATAAGAGTGGTGAAAGGGGACACCCCTGTCTTCTTCCTGATCTTAAGGGAAATGTTTTTAGTTTTTGCCTGTTGGTATGATGTTGGCTGTAGGTTTCTTGTATATGGCCTTGGTTTTGTTGAGGTATGTTCCCTCTATTCTCACTTTGCTGAGTGTTTTTACCATAAATGTGTGCTGGATTTTTATCAAATGCTTTTTCTATGTCTATTGATATGATCATGTGATTTTTGTCTTTCATTTTGTTCATGTTATGTGTCATGCTTAATGATTTGCAAATATTGTATCATTCTGGCATCTCTGGAATAAATCCAGCAAGGATATGGAGAAAGGGAAACCCTAGAGCACTGTTGGTGGAAATGCAAACTGGTGTAGCCACTATGGAAAAGAGTATGGAATTTCCCCCAAAATTCAAAATGGAACTGCCTTTTGACACATTGATTCCTCTGCTAGGACTATACCCTAAGAATCCTGAATCATCAATTCAAATGAACTTATGCTCCCCTGTGTTCATAACAGCCCTATATACAATAGCCAAGTGCTAGAAACAGCCTAAGTGCCCATCAGTAAATGAGTGGATAGAAAAACTGTGGTACATTTACACAATGGAATACTACACAACAGAAAGAAAGAACTACCATTTGCCGACAGCAAGGATGGAACTGGAGAATATTATGCTAAGTGAAATAAGCCATTTGGTGAAAGACAAATAGCATATGATCTCACTTATAAGAGGACTCTAATGAACAAAATAAACTAATGAACAAAAGAACCATAGGCAAGGAAACACAGAACAGACTGACAGTGACCAGAGGGGAGGAGTGAGGGGGATAATGCTGGAAAGAAGGGGAAGAGACTAGTCAAAGAGCATGTATGAGTGACCACCGGATATGGACAACAGTATGAGAATAGACTGCGGTAGTGGAGGTTGGATGGGCCCAGGAGGACAAAGCGGGAAAAATTGGGACTATAATAGAATATCTATAAAAAATTATTAAAATTTTTTCCGAATTCTAATTTTATCAGTACTATTTTTTTTCCCTGGGAAACAAAATCTCTACATCCCAATTAGTCACCAAAAGCTGCACAGGGGTATCTTTTAATTTGTGTTCCCTTGGGCTAACGTCCCACTGAGATACTGCCACACAGGCGACCTCAGCGCGCACCATGAGGCCTGCGCGCACCACCCGGCCTGCGGGAACCATCAGTCCTAACACTGTGGCAGCATAGCCAGGCTCCACCTCCCAGGACCCCTTCCGGACGGAGAGAGCGGCCTTAGCCTTGGACGCGCTTGCGCACGAGCGAGGTAGGGCGGGCCAAAGCTGGAGGAGGCGGTGCAGGACCTCTCAGTCTGTAGTCCATTGGCCATCTCCCGGTAGCCCCGCCCCCGGACGTTTGAGACTGCGGGGCGGGACTCGTCAGGCAGCCGGCGTGCGGCTGAACTTGCGGCAGAAGCGGGGTAAGTAGTGCGTGTTGGCAGACTGTGGACTGTCGGCCGTTGTCCCCAAATCGGAGCCGCCGGTCGCATCCGCCTGTGGTCTGTCTCAGCTTAAGGGCAGGGCGACCGAGGCCCTGTGTAGCTGGGGCTCTGCTGGGAGATGGGGCAGTGGAGCATGTGGAGGCAGGACAGTGTCGCGGTGTGGGGCGGTCAGGCAGGGGACAGGTCTTGCTGTTTGCCCTCGCCCTGTCTTTTCTGGGTTTTGAACTCCCTGAGAACTAGGCCTTTTGCTTTAGAAATCTCTGGTATGCCTGGGTGGGGCTGGCTCTAGTGCCTGCAGTGGGGCTCAGCGGGATCCTGACTGGGAAAGTGAGCGGCGCGTTCTTTGCAGACGTACCTGCAGCAGCAGATTTCAATCACTGCACTCTCGCGTGACCGGTTCCCTAGTCCTGGGCAGTGCAGGGGAATCCGGCCATGTCCTGCCTGGCCTGGTGTAACTATCTCCTTATTGCTAGTGACACACTCAGATCCTGTCCACTTTAATGCAAAGGCTTATGGGTGAGCAGGGCCTGTTTTCAGAATTTCTGGTTCTCTGGTCCTCAGTTAAAGGAATTACCTGAAGAAATTATATGTGTCTATATGTATATAAACAGCACATCCATGTATGAATGTGTGTTTTGAAATGTCTGCAACAACTATACAGAGATTTGGAGACTTGCAACTCTGTTGCACCTACTCTCCAGGAGTTTTAATTTCAGCTCTGGCATCCTGATCCCTTAGTTTAGCTACCGAATTTGGAGCTTTTAAAATCATTGAAGTTATCCTATGAAGTGTCATGCAATCCTTCATTCATCCATTCCATAGACTTTTTTGATGGGTTCCTTGATGGTCAGGGTCTTATACCACAAACTTAAACAGGCATCCCCTGCGTTTTCTTCTAGTATCTGCAAGTTCTACTGTCTAGGTTTGAGATGGAATTTATTATTTATTTGTTTTATTTTTATTGTATTATTTTTTGCCTTTACCATTTATCCTCCTTATATTCTCTTCCACCTCAACCTCCCTCCCTGCAATCACCACACTGTTGTCTGTGTGCATGAGTCCTTTTTCTTTTTTGCTTGATCCCTCCACCCCACCAAATCCCCTCTCCCTGCAGAGCTGTCACCCTACTCTTTGTGAATCTGTCTCTATTTTGCTTGTTCAGTTCATTAGATTCCTCATATGAGTGAAATCATATGGTGCTTTCTCTGGCTAGGTTATTTCATTTAGCATAATGCTCTCCAGGACCATCCAGGCTGTTGCAAAGGGTAACATCTTTTTTTTATGGCCAAATAGTATTCCATTGCGTAAATATTCCATAGTTGTTTTATCCATTCATCTACTGATGGATATTTGGACTGCTTTCATATCTTGATGATTGTAAATAATGCTGCAGTGAACATAGGGGTGCTTAATTCTTTCAAATTAGTGTTTTGGATTTCTTTGGATAAATTCCAGGAGTGGAATTGCTGGGTCATAAGGCAGCTCCATTTTTAATTTTTAGGTAACTCCATACTACTTTCCACAGTGGCTGTGCCAATCTGCATTCCTGCCAACAGTGCAAAAGGGTTCCCTGAGATGGAATTTTTTGTTTATGGTTCAACTTCAGGTTGTAGATTTAGGGACAGAAACTTATGATCCTGTATCATAAGATAGAGCTCTTCTGGGACCCCCTTATTTTCCTTACTTTCACCTCTAGTAAGCCTCAGACCGTGATGGTGCAGAGCCCTAATCTTGCTTACTGTATCACTAAAGACCCTAGGTCTGAGGTACCTATCTGAAAAAGGAGGGGATGTGGTTCAAAGTATTCTGTAGTTTTGAGATGTTTAAGGATAGAGGGAGCAAATGACATATGAATTCTGTTACCAGTTGGGAAGTGACCATTTTAAAAACACAGGATGTATTTTACAGTTATGTTTTATTTGTTTTGAATTTGTCCACATTCAATTTTTGACTGGCAAGCAAGTGCATGTTTATAATTTTGATTCACATCCAATTCCTGCACACAAAGCACAATGACTCATCTAAATTTTGAAATGTAATAATCAGAAGCTTTTAAATGTTACATATGACGGTATAATATAAAAACAATTGCATGTGAATGCACTTTCTTTTTTTTTAAACAAATGCAATTTTCAAAGCAATTTTATTTGCTTTGATAGATAAATGGTATCTAAAATATGTCTTGGCTATTTGCCTATTTGGTTAATATTAGGTAGTTACCATCACCTGGCTAATATCTATCAATATCATGTGGATATGTTAACCATTATTTTATCAACCTAAAATTTACTATATCTTGATTGATTGCTGCTTCCAGTTGAAAATTGATAACCAAATGGTAAATAAATAATTAGTTTGAGGATACATTGCCCATAAAGATATAACAATAGTTTTTCATTTGTTGATTGATTGGTGGTACTTATAAGTACATGTTTGGCCTTCTTGTAGGAGTAAAATGATATCTAAAGTAGTTCCCCTGAAACATAATATTCATAGCCTTGGGACACTTTTCGGATAATATCCACAGCTATTAGTTGAATTAAACTGTTTACATCACTATAGGGTTATGGAAAATTCAAGAAAATACAACTTTTTGAAATTTTGTATTTGCGGGACCTTTCTAGGTCAAGATCAAGATGGGAAGATTAAGGAGAAGTGTAAGCTTAGAGAAAAAAAGTCCAAGTGGAGTCTTTTCTAGTTTAAAATTTGAGGGCAAAAAAACAAACAAACAAAGCACAATGAAAAATACAATTATAAGTGTATTAGGAAGAAGTATAAACAAATAATAGTGTCTGGACTATTAGTGGATCTATAGGAAAACTTGATCTTAATATTTCTTGGTTTATAACAGTGAACTTAGTTTATCTAATAAAACTAGGGTGATAATTTAAACGTTTATCAAGTGGGCAATACATGTTGCTTTAGGAGGTATAAAATCTGTAAGTATCACATGTTTTTTGTAGTCTAAATCTGTAATTCACAATTAGTGGTAAATTGGATAGTGATTGTATGTACTATTTCTACATGATAGAAAATAAGATTTCTAAGATAACATGACAAGAGATGTTTGTCATTTTTTTCTCCCATTTACATTATTTGAAACAAATTTTTTTAAGCAATGTGGGTGACCCAATTTATTTTCAAAGATCTAGGTTGCAGATTATTGTTTTTATAAGTTCGTTCCCCCAAGTACTTCTGCCCTCAATTTTTTAACCTATTCCAAGTCATAATGGAAGTCATAGAATTGCATTTATGATTTTTAACTTTTGTTAATTTATATTGGCTTTCATTCAGTTAGCCTGAGTTTACTTTAGTTTTATATATTTTGAAGACATTTCAAAAGGTTTCACATTACATACTGTGTAATTTTCCATTGCTCATGTTAGGAAAACATTCCTTTTAGTCCAAGGAAGTTGAGAATCCAAACTACCTAAATAGATTGTTTATTATTATTTATTTAAAGATTTATCTTTTCGCTTGCCTGGGGTCTAATGAAGCATTCCATCCAAGCTTCTAAACTGAAGATTTCAGTTTTTTCCCAGTGCATTAGAATATATCTTCTAATCTCTTTTTGGTCAGCTAAGTAAGTGACTGATTGCTATTTTGGCTGATAAGCATTTTGAACAACCGTTATGATTATGAATGTATAACTATAGTTTTGTAAATAAGGTAAAATGAGATTTCGTAAATGAGGTGTTCTGGCTGCTAGGGTGCACCTTTCCCTCCTCTCTTAACAAACCTTTTTCTTTGCCCTAACTCCTTTCAGAATTTACTTTAAGTTTTACTCTATTTGACAATTCTTGAACAGGTTTATGTAATTAAGCCTTTAGACTTTAGTATGTGCTGTTAGGAAATCAACATGGAGGGAGTAGAAAAAACTTTTTTATTAAAGTTGTTTTGAAACAATTAATTAGAATTTTTAAAGAATTGTAGATATTAAAAATATTATTTTTATTACTGTTTTTCATTCAACAAAGACAGGGCATCTGCTTTGCTGAATAATGTAAGTAACTTTTTTTCAAGTAACTTAGTTATTGTATGGAAGCTATAGACAAGGTGAAAATATGAGATAAATATTGTAATTAGATGGAGACAAAGAGTATTGTGGTGGATACACACAGCAAAACTGTGAGTATGTGATTTTAGGAGATTCAGAGAAGGCTTTCTGGAAGAATTTTCACATGCACTGAATATTTTTTAACCCTCACTTAAAGACATTTTTTTCCTATTGCTTTGAGAGAGATAGACAGACAGCAATGTGAGAAAGAAACATCTACTGGTTGTCTTTTCATGTGCTTCCCAGCCTAGGATTGCACCTGCAACCTGCGTATGTGCTCTGACCAGGAATCAAACCTGCGACTTTTTGGTCTACTATGCCAAAACCAACTGAGCCACACTGATCAGGGCTTAACTGAATTTTTAAAGCATGTAGGAATTAGGTGGTGAGGATAGAAGAAAAGGCATTTTATGCACAGGAGAGAAGTAAGGCCAAGGAGAGAGTAGAAAGATGAAGTTTAATAAGAAACAAAGGCCAAATAATAAAAGATCTTCTTCCCCACTATGTTAAGAATTTGAACTTTATCCTTGAGGATATGGTGATCAATGGGTAAGAGATTTAAAGCATAGGGTAGTTAAGATGAGTTTTAAGTATAGTGGAGCAAGGCCCATTTGTGAAAGTAAGATACAGAACTCCAAATTATGCAGTGGGGCTTGAGAAAATAGGATGGATTCAGGATATATTAAGGTGCTCAAATTGATGTCCAGATTGATATGCAGGGTGAGGAAAAGATGGACTCAAGGATGCCTCCTAGATTTATGATTCCCAACGTAGGAATCACATGAGGATTATCAGATGTATAGGAGAATAAAATCAGTCTTGGACATGGTTTTGGGTCGCACAGTTGACGCTGTTCAGTGGGCAGTTGGCTGCATTGGTCTGGAGATGCGGAGGGAATTCTAGGCTATCTAGAGATTAGGAT